GTGTTTCAGGTGTTTCAGGTGTGTTTTAGGTGTTTCTCAGGTGTGTTTCAGGTGTGTTTCAGGTGTTTCAGGTGTGTCAGGTGTTTCAGGTGTGTCAGGTGTATCAGGTGTTTCAGGTGTGTCAGGTGTATCAGGTGTGTTTTAGGTGTGTTTTAGGTGTTTCAGGTGTGTTTCAGGTGTGTTTTAGGTGTGTTTTAGGTGTGTTTTAGGTGTTTCAGGTGTGTTTTAGGTGTGTTTTAGGTGTGTTTTAGGTGTTTCAGGTGTTTCAGGTGTGTTTCAGGTGTTTCATGTGTTTCAGGTGTGTCAGGTGTCACAAATAAGGTCCTTAAACTATCTGTGAAGGAACTGTCCCAAAACATGCATGTATGGTGCTTAATGCATGTAAAGTAAAATGAGGAATGGTTCATACTTTCATATAATACAGATTTATAACCTTTATTTAATGAGGAGTTCACTCTTGTGGTGACCAGGTAAAGGTGAAGTCTCTTAAAAATGGTTGTAGGGCTAAAAAGTCACATAAAAATCTAAAAGAAAAGCACCAAACACAGCTGGATGAAGGCGGCCTGCTGGTGGTAGATGTTTTAGTTTAAATTTGCAGGGAATTAATTGCAAAAATGTGCCTTTAAAAGTGTGTGTTGCTCTCCTGCTGTAATACAAAAGTAATTTGGCGAGCAGAGAGCTCGTGTTAGCTGCAGGTTTAATTTTTCTCTGCCAGCGTGTTTAACCATGTTAGCAGAATTTAATTTCAAAGAATGCAAAGAAAGGAGCAGCGCAGAGTTTCTCAGCTTCACTGCTTCCTGAGCTCCTGTAGCCTCATCGCTCACCACTGTTTTCTTGTGATTGTCTTCCTTTTCCACCTCGCTGTCTCCGGGGAATAGAGCAAAGATGCCGGCATCAGGACTTTGGTTATGCTGGACGAGCAGGGAGGTAAGTGTGCATGAGGGGCGATGGCGCAGTGTCACAACATATAGATGCAGTGATAATATGATTCAAATACAAGCAGCGCTACACCTCAGTCTTCACCTCGTAGACACGTTGGTGTTAAATTGATATTAGAATTAAACGACGTGTTTCATATGCAGTTGTTTGGTTTTATTTGAGTTTTTCCAAACTAATTCATTTTGTCCTTAAAGGAATCAGTTTTGAGTTGTTTGATTTGTTGCTTGTTTTCTTTGGTGAAGGTTCAACATGGTTTCCTTCTTTCTTTCAGCTTCTTTTAACATTTGTTTTCTTTGGCTAACATTTTTCTTTTTACTTTACTAACTGCTCTCACTTTGCCAGCAGCGTTTTATGGTTTTTCTTAGCTGAGGACGACGGTTAAAGGAATTGTCATGAGTGCCAAAACCATAACAGATCCTGTTAGGAAGATTTAATGCAGCAACTGCAGGAATGAAACCTCACAGCTCAACAACTCATTGTCAGGAAGCGGGCGACGGCCTCGTCCCTGTGGGTGCTGCTGGCAGCGTAACCTCCGGGCTGGTCTCAGATCTGTTTACAAGAAATAAATACATTTAGAAACACCTACACGACCTATTATACTGCTTTATATCACAATAAAGGCAAACAAGTCTGAGGACAGCTAACCTGGCTAACCTTGTCTATCAGCGTACAGATTTGTACAATCCCTGATTAGATGCAATAAATGAGAACGTCGGCTCACAGTAACCTTAAAAGATATCGTTTCTAATGTGACGTGAATGATATTTAGACTCTTGGCAGGACGAGCGCCCTCAATTTTCTGTTTCTGGGAAACCAGAGCAGCCCAGTAAGAGGCCTGACTGCACCAGCATCACTCGGGGAGAGGAGAGCTCTCCCTCCTCCAGCTCTCCATTTAGCCTCGCTGCCCCGAGCACTGCAGGATCGTTTGCAACAGCTGACTGGACGCAGGAGCCCGAGCTGACCTATGACCCCAGATTTTTTGCACAGGCAGGGCCTGCACCTCTGCAGCACTTGTTGAAGTCAACATTCATAGGCTGATGTGCTTTGATGCAAATCCTTTCAATTTGAACTTGAAGCCATCGCTGATCTATTTTGTCTCATTCTTTAACGATCTCCACACTCAGTGCCGTGACCCACTTCTCTATAACACCACCAACACAATATGATGTCCTTTATGACCGTCGATGACTGTAAACCAGGGATTTTACAAATTTGGGGAAATAAATCTGTAAAGTTGTTTCTCAGTCCACTCCATGTTTACCCGTGCCTCACCCTCCACTCGCCCAGCGGCCCGTCCACCACACCAGCACGACAACGATGCTCACTGACAGCAGTCAGAGTCCGTTCAGTTACACTGAATCATTGTTAAAGCCACGCACACAGTTTTCAGTTGACCCTGTGCTGTTCATGCTGCAGCTTCACTAACATGCAAATAATCCAGCAGCTGTAAAATGTTTCAATTAAGTTTTACACGTTAAATTAGAGAAAGGAAAACTCGGACGCTTCCCTGCAGCTTCCAACCACAGGAAGAGGAAATTCATTCAGCACTGAAAAGGTCTTCGGCGATAACGACCATGCGCCCGTTTTCCCATTTTATTATTTTATAATACAGCCTGTGACGGTCACTAAATACATGTGATTTCAATGTATTTTATTTGAAATGACAATTTAGTTACAATTACCTATAATACTCAAAGAATAAGGAGGTAATCCATCAGATTTCTGCAGAAAACAAAGAAATAATAACACTGTAAGTAAGTTTAAGTCGTTTTACGTTGCTCATGATTTACGTTTTTTTATAGGAAAGGAGACAAAAACGATTCTGTAAAGTTAAACACTGCAAAAGTCATTACTTTAGTAGTACTTTGTCAGTCAGTTTGGGATGTGGAGTTTTTTTATGGAGCGGTTTATGTTAAAGCAAAGGAAACATTTTTTTCTCTTCACTAATTTTTTAAGTTGTGATTTTGAAAAAGAAAGTTCGACTTGGCTTCATCGTTATCAGGTCACACAGGCCTCCAGATTTTGGTTGTATTTACTGTTTTGTAGTTTGGTAACGGTGAACAGTCCTGACACACGTCTGGTGGAAAAATAAAAAGACAAACATCGTGCACATCAACAGAGTAAATATTAAAGATGAATCTACTCCATAAGTATAAAGTTTTGCTCCCACAGTTACCCTGAGATGCAGCCTACACAAAGTCACTTTACAATATTTACAACAAATATATCATAAAAATATTTAAATATCATTACATTTAATTTCAATTAATAAACATTGAACATCTGTTTAAGCCGTTGGTCGTGGGCGGTATTATAGCGTTACCAGGATTTCTCCCACTAAGCCTTCACAGCCGTCTGCGACTGGAAGTGATGGGAGCAGCTGGAAACCAGCCGCCTCTGAAGCTGACTGAAAACTGTTTCCCTGCTGCGGGTATAAACTGGTACTAACACCGGGGTTTGTGTGGGAGGACCCCGAGCAGCTCTTTATCCTGACAGTCGCTCGATCAGATTTGAGATTGATCTATTGATCTATTGATTTGAAAAAAAGGAAACGCCGATTTCCCCCAGAAATCTTTGTTTTCTTTTAACATCTTTGCTGAAACATTTACAGTTTCAATCAAATGAACCAAGAAAACACAAAGAGAAGATTTACTTTCATTATTGGATTGTTGGGGGCTCTCATGGACCATTTTCTGCACATAATTGTGTTTTAGCCACCAAAGTGATGCACTGTAGATACGCACCAGAGTACAAACGCTTCACCTGCTCATCATGACTCATATTTCTGTCAATCAGTCAATGAAATTCATCCACTACTGTCATCCCTTTGTCCTGACCAGAGCAACTCGATCGTGTCGAAGATGGCATGAACCATATCAACCAAGACATGAAGGAAGCCGAGAAAAATTTAAAAGATTTAGGGAAATGCTGTGGGCTTTTCATATGTCCATGTAACAAGTAGGTACTGATAATGTGCCCCAAAGGTTCTTTACATATGTGGTGGCGTCCAGTTTTTCCTTTTTCTTCTCTTTAAGTTTTTACTTTCTTTCGTCATAGTGTCTGAAGTTGTTGTCTTCTCTCCTTTGTCCTCTCTTTCTCTCTTCTGCTTCGTTCTGTGGGGGATAAATGACTTGTGTTTAATCAGAGCAACTGGAGCGCATCGAGGAGGGAATGGACCAAATCAATAAGGACATGAAGGATGCAGAAAAGAATTTGAACGATCTAGGGAAATTCTGTGGTCTTTGCTCCTGTCCATGTAACAAGTAGGTGCTGCTTGCCTGCCTGCCTGCCTGCCATTTAAAATCAAGTATCTAAGAGAAGTAAAACCGAGGTAGAAGTGACATCACAATGGCCATCAGCCAATAGCCTGCTCTACTCCAGCTCCTAATAAACACTGAGCCCACAATGTGGAATGATTCACTTCAAAAACGTCAGGCGGTCCACTTAAGGTTGAACATTTCCAGTCACAATATGACGATTTAAAACAAACAAACATCTAAAACAATAACGTGATTTCCTGTAACAGTACGTGACACTCGTTAGGCCCCGTCATGTTGGTCAGTTAGTACTTTATCTTCTTTTATTTAAATATTTGCTGATTCAGTAGCAACTCCCACATGTTTACTGAAGGGATTTGCTAACAGTCGGCTGGGACTGAAGGAGTCACCTGGATGAGTGAACGTCCAACGACCTTCTTTGGGCATAGCAGACATAGTGTCCCAGAATTCATAGCTCCCCAACTGGGAGCATCTCATAGTCCAACGGTCTGAACATCACCGAACAATTGACCTCAAAAAGCTGCTAAAGTTCTTCCAAAGTTAAAATTGTGCAAGCAGCCACCCAGATTCACCATCCAGATTTTTACATGCGTTGTACGGTCAAATCAGGCTGATACAAATCGACTGGTAAGACCCAAAGCTTTAAATGTCCAGTCCTCCACGCACTATCAACTCTCCCCCACCCAGCCAAGGCCATGCTTCATCAATAAGTGCCTCTCTTCTACCAAGTGCCATATTCTCCAAACAGCTCTATAATGGGATCGTCTACGTGCAGGTGTAGCCGCTGTAGAAGTCCCGCTTTCCTCCTGAAGAGGGTTTTTCTCATTATTGATGCGTGGCGGTGGAAGACGGGACTTCTACAATGATACCACTGCAGCTGTTGACCTTCCCAATTATAAAACGTACTTAGATTTAAAGAGCAGGGCTGGGGCTCCAGAAGCATCTTGGCACTTAGATCATCCTAATGTATTGACTCCAGATGGAAATGCAGCGATCTTGGTCCCAAAATGCCTTTGGCCAGCCTGGTCCAGGACTGGTTGACACTTCTCCTCATCTGCATGATCTCCACCACCACCACACTGCTCTGACATCCAGTAGATCCTCACCTGTCTGCAGGCAATGAGACCTTTGTTTCCCGTTGAACACCCCCTCCCCCACTGCCTTATGAGCCACGAGCACCAATGAATGACTGGCGAGCATGACCCTCTGAATGCTCATGCATGCATGATGATGTAACTCATAAAGCAATGCTACACATGATGATGCTACGATCATGATGTTGTTGTTTGAAAATGATACTGATGGTGATCCTGATGAAGTTCAGAGTTCGTTTGTGAGCAGAGCCGTCGTTGTGTAACTTTATGGGTTGGACCAAGTTTAAAAATACAAAGAAAATAAAGTTAACTGAAGTCCCTGCTTGGAAAAGATGGGAAAGAACAAAGAGAAGATAAATGCTGCACAACAAAACTGTCAGAGGCTCAACGTTTGGCAGCGAACACGCTGGAAATAGGAGAGAAATGACAGAATGACACATTCAGAGCAAATGAGAAAAACAGGAGTGATCTGGTGTAGCTTGCAGCTAGAAACTGGGCTAGGACACATGCGCAGTGAGATATTTTTAGGAGCGTAGTCAGGGTTGATGTATGAAATGGGTGCATCGTGCCACAGCACTGTGTGCAGGACCCTTGTTTCTGCTGCAGTTTGTCTGCAGCGCCTCTCCTGCAGAGCGCTGTGCTAATTTAGCCTTTATTCCACTCTGGCTGCTAAACACTGATGTTTGCTGAGCTCCCTTTCCTGCAGGGAACTCGCTCACATGTAGGTCAGCCATATCAGATAGTGGCAGCCTGCTGGGACATTGACTCAACCTGCCTGCACACATAGCAGGATGCTAAAAGAGATGTTTTTCAGCACTGCTGCTCACTGTACCTCCAGAATTAGCAGACCCCAGATTTCCCTCTTAAAGGCTTCATATTGTGGCCGTCTGAATGCCAATGAATGAATGAGGCAGAATGACTTCAGTCTTGCAGGTCCTGCAATACTCATCTAATCAGATCATCTCTGCTCAATCAGAGCAAATCTGATTAGAAATGTGCAGTATCTCCTTTCTGAGACAGCAGGGAAGTAAATTGCAAATTAAAGTTTTACAGAAGGAGAGGAGATTAAAAAAGACGCAGCAGAAAGAAGAAAACAGATGGAAATATAAAGGACTCAGACAAGGGTAGAGTATGTGTTAATCATATCAGTGTGTGTCAGCAGGGACGGGGCGCTCAGCGAAGCCTCAGTCCATTTCTATTAATAAGAGCAGTGTAGGAGGCGGCTGAGCCATCGCCATCCCTGATACAGCTAGGATACATCCACACACTCCAAGGTTATACAAGCTCAGCAACTGTGATACAAGCAAAGAAGTGTCAGGATGCTACTGAATGGGCAGGAACGTGTTTGATATGCACACAGACAGCAGCGACAGTTACCTTCCAGTCCATCTACCTGCTGCGTGGAGCCAAAACAGATACTGAGCTTTGATTGGCCGAGCAGCCGAGCTGCTTCGTGTTAGCACAGCTGTACAGATGCAAGCAGATGTGACTTTCGTTGAGAGATAAGCTGAGTCACAACCATTACCCCACTCCTCTGCCTCACCACCTCAACTGGCTAACAGGACCAGGACTCTGTGACATATACAGACATACAGGTGTGGGGTGGTGGGGGTCGGGGTGGGTGGTGCAGATGGTTCAGGTAAACGAGGCGCTCTTCTCTGCTGACTCCCTCCAGTTTCTTGTTTTGTTCTCCTTCTTCTTGTTTCGCAGTTTGTTCTCCGCATTGATCGTCGTCCAACGATGTGACAGTCCTGTACACGCTGTGTTGTGTGTCTGCCACAAGCTCTGTGTCTTCTCTGTTTTCTGTCACACTGTGGGAGTGGGATGTGCTTTACTGTTGCAAACACAGAAGTATGATGGTTTAGGACAGAGAGAAGGAATCAGGCTACAGTTCAAACACAGCGTGCAGGGCTCGCCTGATCCTGAACAGCATGTTATATACCTGCAATATAACATCGCACACATAAGTACTGTGTTACAGCAGAGCCTGTACCTGCAAACCCAAAGCCAGTCCATGCCTGCTATGCTTTGCTCCACTAGTCTAGTCCCACCATATATTTATGTGCTGGTTGCATGAAACCAATTAACACTGTGTGTCAGCTACATGCTAATATATTCACATATGTGCTGCTGCAGTGCCTCAAATCCAAGCTCTCTTAGCTTTGACTAATTGGAAGCCAGCCTGGTTGAGGTAAATGGCGAGTCGCCTTTTTCAAACTGTTGAGTAACTTTCTCTCCATCACTGCCGGTGGCCAGGATGAAGAGCGGAGCCAGCAAGGCCTGGGGGAATAACCAGGACGGGGTGGTGGCCAGCCAGCCCGCCCGCGTGGTGGACGAACGCGAACAGATGGCCATCAGCGGCGGCTTCATCCGCAGGTAGGAGGAACGCTTGGATGGAAATCACAAATGTGCGATTTTACGGGGCACGTTCATCTTGTCTGGAATATTTCAAGGCAAGATGAGGGTAAACGTGCACGTGGCATCGTTCACCGGCAGCCCGACTAGGCTAGCAAAGCAGACCAGCCTTTATGTAGCATTAACATGTCCGTCCGCTCTCGCCAGCCACGTTGTTAGGTGCGCTGTTCCTAACAGAACCGCTTTAATCCTTCATGGCACAGAACCAACAACATGCTGGGAACATACCTGGGAGACTTTGATCCAAACTGCTGCTGCAGACCCAAGATCCACGTTTCCCGCGCTCTGTTAGATCAACACGTTCTCACTCCTAAAGCGTAACATTTTATGCTAGGTGACAAATTGTCAACATATTACGTTTTCGGCCACCAACACGTTCCGACGACTTCGGAAAACTGAGGACATATGAGAACTTAAAATCACTTTGGGAAAACTATTTCTCGTCATTACAGTGCTGGTTAAGGTTAGGAATAAGGTTATGGTTTAGGGCTGCAATACAGGGCAGGAACGTCTGTTACCGCGAGAGCGTAATTCCACTGGATTTAATCCATAACCCGGCGCGTACCATAAGAACTTGGAAGGTCACCTTTCGCGTTCCTCGGGAATGCCGTGCGACGTGACAAAACGTCGGGATGTTGCACCTCGGGGGGGAGAACGGGCTCGTTAGACTGAGATGTGGTGCCTGTGGAGATGCTTTGAATACAACGAACTGTAATGATCTGATCTTTGTGACGTGGTAGACTAAGGGATACACACGATCAGCAATAATACTCGACGATGCTGCAACATTTTGTCAATAATCAAATAAAAGAAAATCCCATCACTAGATCACCACCAGCCTGATCTATGAATCCATGCTTTCATGGTGTTTGTGGCAGATCATCCTGACGTCACAGCAGGAAGAAATATTCTGGTATTTTTCATAATTTCCTAAACTTCCCTTCAGCTCACTGGCAGCAACCAGATACACGGATAATCAATTATTATTATTTCACGTAGAGTCGGCCTCAGTCAGTGTTTAAATGTACCCACACAGGTACTCACAGGCAGTGTTGGGCAAGTTACTTTGAAAAAGTAATTAATTATAGTTACTAGTTACTTCTTTAAAAAAGTAACTGAGTTAGTAACTGAGTTACCAGATTCTAAAAGTAATTGATTACTTGAAAAGTAACTATTGCATTAAAAAAAAATGTTGAACCCTCTGGGGTCCAGAGTACAATCAGCCATTTTTAACTGACGTTCCCTCCACATTTCACCTCTAACTGATTATTTGTCTTGTTTGGTGTCGTTCTCTTCAGCACAGCCTCACGTGTCTGAATCTACAGTCATGTTTTCATTCTGACAGACTGCATTAACACAATTGATCTAAAATCAGACACAAAACATAAAATCAGAGTAGAAAAAGTGATATTTTTACTGTAACAACCACACATTTCAAACTATTTACAGAACAATCAGGTGTTCTGCATTCAACACTCCAAAAAATAATTTCTGTCCGCTATAAAGGAGAACATCAAAAAAGTCAAATATCAAAAAGTGATCGCCAGGCAGAAAGTGATCGCCGCCCGCGGGAGCGCGCAGCTGCTTAAAGCTGCAGCGCCCAGATTACTTACAGCTACTTCCTGCAGCTGAAGGTGCGGTGAGTTCAGCTTCAACCGTCTGTTTGCTAAAAAATAGTAACACGACTGCATTTTGTTGTTAGTAACGGTAACGGCGTTGTAACGATAGAAACAGTAATTAGTTAGATTAGTAGTAACGCCGTTACTAACGCCGTTACTAACGCCGTTAGTAACGCCGTTAGTAACGCCGTTAGTAACGCGTTATTCCCATCACTGCCAACAGGGACTGAAATCAGCTCTACTTTTAGTACTTTAGTGATACTTAATGTAAGAACGAAAGAGCAAATGACGGCGTTTCTACTTGAATACCATCGACTGATAGAAGAAACACAGTTCAGCGTCTACTGAAGGTCGAGCTGCATCAGCGACATGAACAGCTGAAAATAGACTGAAAGGAAAAGTCAGATAAAGACGAGCAGAAAAAAACATTCATCATCTGGTTCTTGTCTTGTCTTCATATGTAATCAGATTACCTGGAGAACTGTAATCCAAATCTATATTATTGAGAACAACACAGGCTTTAGACTTTAATGTGGATATTAGATTATCTCATATTAATCTAATCTGTGTCTGTATATGTGAAAGATTGTGTATCTGGATATTTAACACGGTGACATTAATAAAGAAACAGTGAACAGGATCCTGCGGTCGGTCTCTGCTCTTTGGAGGTTCAGAGGTGAAATATGGACACCAGCAGGGGCAACATGTGCTGTACTAGCTACTGCAGAGATAAATGTGACCTTTTGTATGGCAGGGTAACAGACGATGCCCGGGAAAACGAGATGGATGAGAACCTGGAGCAGGTGGGTGGCATCATTGGCAACCTGCGCCACATGGCTCTGGACATGGGCAACGAGATCGACACCCAGAACCGCCAGATCGACAGGATCATGGAGAAGGTACACGCACACGACGAGATACAGCTTTTCAGCTTTTTCTTCAAACGCACCGGGTTCATGTAAAAGTTGAGTTATCTCGCTTATTTAGTGATTTGCCTCCTTGCAAATATAAGAGTATTGGACCAGTGTGGACACGAAGGAAAAGCTTGGTTTGTATACAACACCAGCTCAGGGTCACAAAGCTCAGCCTGGTTTGGTCTTTTACAGGCTGCAAGGTTTTCTCCAAGGATATTCCAACATTCACTTACATCCCTGTTTCCTGGTTTGGTCACGTTGTGAGGATGTGCGAGTGTTGTGAACATGCCCGTAAATGTGCAATTGTTGAAATGCTGTGATTGGTTAGAAAATGTTAAAATAATGTCCAACCTTAAGACTTAAATAACTTGATGCCTTTGACGCAGAGCTGTGCAAAATCAGGTCAGAGATAAAATGTAGAAACAGCAAAGAAAAGTTGTCTTACCTTTTATTTTCTTAAGCATTTCTATATTTAATGATCTCTTTGTATAATAGAGTCTTCTTAAAAAGCTCCATCTCTAAATTCAAAGCTCTACCAAAAGTACAATGAAATCAATCTAACCGGGTACGAAAGATAAAACACCAAAACACAGATCTGTGGAGTAAATCAACAAAGCCCTCTCATCACTTTCTCCTCCCTCACAGGCCGACTCCAACAAGACCAGGATCGATGAGGCCAACCAGCGCGCCACAAAGATGCTGGGCAGTGGCTAAACGCCCGGAGTCCGGAGCGTGAACGTCCGGCGTCCCGCGCCACGCATCGATAGGCGCTGACATGCTTTCATCATGGTATTGACCTTCTAGGTTTGCACACATGCACATATCACCTCCCCGCCCATTGTAAATGTTGTTCTGTGTCGTCTGTCGAGCTTTTTCAAGATGATTGTCCTCGTAAAAAGATGATTTCTTATACTCCGTATATCATTCTTTCCAAAGGTTGTATATAGTGCTGACTTGATGGATCTCTAGCTCACCTGTGAAGTTTTTATTCTCTATGTCAAATATATATATATATATATATATATCTCACATATCATATATATATACATATATATATACACACGAGTACACTTCTCTGGATGACAAGTATATAATAGGAATGCTGTACAAGCTGTTTGTTTTTTCTTCCTTTTCGGTATCTCAGTATCGTCTTAGTAAAACTGTGTCATTACATATAGGCTACTGTCATGCTCCTTATTTTGGTGTTGTCACAAAAACAGCGGGAGAAGATTGACGGCAAACACGAGTCACTAAGCGGCGGTACAGTTGGGCGGGACGGCAAAGAGCACTCAATCAAAGGCAGTCCTTGGTCCATTTTCCTTCATCGCAATCATTCTGAGTTACTGTTTAGACGATGTGCAACTAGACTCTCTGTAGCTGTATTAGACATTGCATTCCAAGTGATGTGAATTGTGCGTTCTCTGCATGACAAATGGTAGATTTTAGTCTTATAAATAAAACCTGTCTGAAAAAATATATATAAAAAATGATAACATGGCAGTAGCAAATTGACAAAACGCATGCTCGGTATTAGGACACAGTTTATCGTTCCATACTCCTGCAAGTTTGCAATAGTGCCACTCTTTCTGTCTCGATATATTTACCGACTGTGACCATCTCGTTGTACAATAATGCAAAAGGGATCAAAAAAGTGAGATGAAGTTGAAACAACTGAGGACTTTGGGTTGTATTGCAAAAAAATGACCTGTTTTCTAAATGATTATGCAGTTCAGTGATGAAGATGTTGATTATATGATGAAAGCTGAGGACTGGTTGTGTACTGTATCATAGGTTTTGGATGCTCTGAAAAAAATAAACGTTTGCAATGTAAAGCAAAGACGCATATTTCTGAGAGACCTTACTTTTATAAGAAAACCGTATATGTAAGTTTATTCTCCCCGTGTGGTTTGTTATTGGTAAGAATAATGACAATATTAAATAACAATTACAACTATACTCTGAAACAAAAAAATACATACAAATGGGTTTTTTTGTTGCTTCTGTACTTTAGAGCTATGCACACCAAATCGCCAAAATGTCAAGTAGTTAGAGTAAGGTGATGAATTACCTAAACCTGAATGACACAATAGGTTAAACTGTGAGATTGATGTCCTCAACGCATGTAATACTAAAGACTCCCTCTCTGTATCCTGTCAGTGTGTGAAGTGGTGGACATTTTGTAGCTAGCTGAATTGATTAAAAGTAATAAACCCTAGTTGCATCCGTGTCTGTCTTTATTGCTTAGAGACTCCAATCTCTAACGTCCAGGGTGGCGTTTACCCAAACTACCGCTCACATTAGATTACATCTTACGTGGCAGACAGTCCACCCGATGGCCCTGTTTTCTCTAAACAAGAAGCCAGCAGTCCAGGGATACACTGACAGTCAACACGATAGAGCATTTGATATTCATCTTTGTGGTGTTTAGCTTTGGCGCAAGTTTAATATATGAGAGGAACCAGACTGAAAGGCAAGAAGTGATTCCTGAAGAGCCAAAACATTCAGAAATGTCAGCTGAGACTAATGTCAGCTAACCAAAACTGCTACAACGTTTCTCCCTTTTTAACGACCTAAATTTAACTTTAAAAGGTTTTATTGTTTCATAATAAAGAAAATCCCTTATGCTATCCTTTTTTCCTTTCACAAACTTCTCCTCAGGAAAAACACAATTGTCACATTAAAAAAGGAAGATTCACACTTGTTTCACAGTGTTTGTCATTTTCTGATATATTTTGCTTAAAACTGCCAAAATGTCCATATAAGCAAGTTACATGCTAATATTAGCTAAACTTCATGTACAGCGTTAGCTTACCTCAGTGCAAAAACAACAAGCTTAGCTGTGTTTTTTGTTGAATCTACTGAAGAAACAAAGAATATCAATCAAAAAATTGTTTTGTAAGGGATCAACTACTGTTTTACAGTTGCTATGATGGGCTAGCTAGCTACTAGCTGTAGCTTTATGTTTAGTGAACAGACCAAGCAGAAAACTCTGGGGGCTAAAAATGAAAGTGGCACAAACTGCAGGAGTTCTACCCGAGTCCAAACTGTTCCCCACTGTTCCCATTTCAAAATGCCAAACTTTACCTCAGAAATTAACATATTTAAGCCAAGTGTTTCTACCTTGACTCAAAAATATAAGGAGGGATTTTTTGCTAACGCACTCATTTAAGTCTTATTATAGCTCAAACGAAGCATTTCTCAAACATGGGTAAAAAAACATTTATGGCAGCGATATCCTGAGGTTTCAAAGTGGCAGCCAGTCAAGGATGATAAGCAATCCTCAGCCATGCTTTATACAGCCTAAAGTGTATGTTTATAATGTTTTCTTTATTAATTTTTCCAATATTACAAATATATTGTCAGGTTTGCTGTTAGCCACGTTTAGATTACCCATGTTGGTTTACTGGTGATGGTTTTAATGGGATTAGCCAACTTCTCAGTAAATGCTAACCGAATGCTAGGGGAGCGTGACTGGTCAAATTGTGTGCATCAAGCTTCTCATTTGAGCCAGATGTGCTATTACTGAATTAAACTGTGGTGCTGTAGTCGGACATATCTTTGTCCATATAGACCAGAAGAATGTCACGATTTGGACTAAATGTGGCCTGATGGTGTCGTGGAAAGTTTGTAATGTACATCAATGACTGTCAGAAGACGCTTTCTCTTTGGGACACATGAATGTGAGCACCTGATTCTTAATGAAGACAAATCGTGGAGGGAAGAACAGAAAGACTCAACGACTGAAGAAAAAAGGTAAACCTGAGCTTCTCTGAAAACAAGAGAAAATTGTTTAAATTATTACAATAATGATGCATTTCAGCCAAGTTTAACAGAAAAAAACTAAACCTTTGTAATGATCCATAATTACTTACTACGGTACACAAAAAGCATTTTATTCACATTTGTTTCGTTTTAAGTCAAATGCTTTCAAATGTTCATTCTAGTAAAATCAAAAATATGAAAGTTTAAAGCTCATTTAATGATTTGACTTTTCTTCATGCAAAGCACAGTGTGAGAGATAAAACACGGAAAAAATATTTGACAGGAAGCCAAAATAAATAGACGAGAACTGGACTAATCTCCCTCGAGTAAAGTTATCATCAAGTTTTGTTAGTGAGTTGTACTTTCAGCCATTTGATTGTTTGATTGTTTGATTGAACATTTTGTTGTATTTCAGTTTCGCACTTTGTCTGTAGTGTGAGTCTAATGTGTGCATGTTCCATAAAAATAGCTGGACTCAGTCATTTTTATAGAACATATATTACATATACATATATATGACGATGTCAATAAACTCTCCATTTTCAAAACTATTTCTTTCTGGGAATTGTTTCAAGGTTCAGGCTTTACAGGGATGATTTATGGTATGAACAGCAAATTCAAACTATTTTAACTGTTTCAATGAGAAGAAAAACACAGCAGCCAGATGAAGAAAAGAGAACAGATTACTTTTAGATGAGCATTATCTGACTGTCCAAAATCAAAGTGAAAATAAAGGTGGTTGCAAATGGAGAATTTGAGGACTTTTCAGTTGTAGAAGTTTCTGATGTGTAGTTAAACGAGTCCCACCCAGTAAAGAAACTGTGTTGATCCGTCCACAGACCTGACATAACACAGCATGTTGAAAGAGTAGGTTTGTCTGTGCAGTCCTCCCTTCTCAGGTTTATTCAGGCCCAGCGATGTGGACCCCAGCCCATAATCCTCCTGCAGACACACCTGTAGAGGAGAGTATAAAGACCCGCGACTCAACTGTGTCAGACACGAAGCTCCGAGGAGTCTCTCCACAGCAGCTCTGCAAAGAAGCTCCACAGCTACCAGACCCACTCTGAAGATGAGTCCCTCTGTCAGCCTGCTGCTGCTGCTCGGCCTCTCTCAGGCTCATCCTCTCATGGAGGAAAGAGGAGGAGGAGAGAGCCAGGTGGAGGAAGACCACACCATCGATATCACCACCAGGATTCTGACCGCAAACAACGGCAGCAATGAGATCCTGCTGGAAGGAGACATCCTGCTTCCAAAGAGCAGAAATGCCATTAAATGCCAGAGTTACCAGAGCTGCCTGTGGCAGAAAGACAACAACGGCCTGGTGACGATTCCCTTCACCATCAGCAGCGAGTACAGCAGCGGGGAAAG